GGGGGGGGGGGTGAAAAACTGAAAAGTACCTCAAAAAGTTTCCCCCTCGATATGAGGAAGGACGCCACAAACCGCAAATCGATATCATAATTAGAACTAAAGTTATGGCCAGTGGTGCGTAACTTTTGAATAACCCTGTAGGTAAAGGAAATAAATGATGCAAAAAGTTTTTGGACAAAAAAAATGAGCTGACGATGAGAATAAAGATCTGTGGTACAAATCTGATTTGCTGTAGATACAAAAGCTTCATAGCAACCTGCAAACAATGACATTTTTTTAATGTTTAGAAAGCTTGTTTTGATTTACAGTTCATTTTTAGCAAAATAGAATTTTTTTCCCCAAAGAAATGGATTCACAAAGAGAGGATAACTGTCTCAAGAGAACATTATTCAATTTCCAGGTTACAGTCTTCAAAGTAAAGGCAAAAGTATAAAAGATAAAAACCTAGCTATTCGAAGAAATTATTTTGACTATTATTTCCCCTTGATCATTAGATATTTTGACTTTGAAATTTGAGAATGTACTCTTGACACAAGTATCTACTTCCGATGGATCCAATAATTTGAGAATAAATATTCTCTATGAAACATTAAAATTGCATACTTAAATCATCATACACCTGATACGCATTAAAAAATGCAGAGATTTGCATCTTTAAAGTTTTTGTCCAATTATTATGCATTCGACAGAAGTTTAGGAAGAAATTCCAAAAAGCTCCTGCCTTTTTTGAATCTTCATGCATCGTTTCATGCATTTTCTCTGATCACTCAAGCTAATTATGAAAACAAACAGCGACAGAATAGAGGAAAAAATTTACCAAGAATGCTAAGAGTGCTAAGACTGGCCCTTTGGATTTTTTCCTTTCTTTTTTCTGTTATGTGAAGCAGACCGATGGGTCCAATATCAACCTAAAAATCGACAAGCCCGGTCAGATTTCTCCCAGTGTTTCCTAGGATTTTTCAAACATTAAAATACAATAAGTGCCAAAAAGTTGCGTAAAAGCATCCCGTTGAAGCCTACTAAAGGGTTTGTTGAAGGCCCTTATATTTTGATTTTCGAGAAAAGCAGTTGAATGGCTCACCCTAGTGTCCTATCTGCCCATCCATCTTTAGGACAAAAAGTTGCAGTTCAGATGGTTTGATGAGCTACTAAGTATGCTTTCATGCCGAAGGTGACTAAAAGGTTAGAAATTTACCTTGAAGTAAAATTTGGGAATTTCTGAATAGGTTTTATCCGTGGATTCTTCACCATCATCTTTCAAAGACTTGTAGAATTGCAGAAAATGCTCAACTTCTTTTTCTTTCTTGTCGTTTTTGTTTTTTACTGAGGCTGAGGAACATAAGGAAAAGAGAAGTCAGTTACATTAAAAAGAAAAATATTCCATGAGAATTTAAAGTACTTTGATGTGATAGTGAGCAAACTCAAAAGCCAATAGTTGATAGCTCGCTTTGTCGGATGCTCCCATGATATGTGAGCCATGTCCTAGAGAAATGGTCATCTCAATCCACAGAGGATGACTCAAGCTACTGCTCTCATTGCCAGGGGTGTAACAATTTCTTGACCCTGCGACTGAACGGGTCGCACTCAGTCACATGCAAAAATGAGAAGGTCAGGAACTCTCAGCAGCCCTGCCCATTGGAGTAAAAAATCTGTTTTGGAACCTTCTTCTGTTACCACAAGCACTTGAGACTTATAAACCAACGGTGCAAATATCCTTCAAATTTTGAGGGTGGAAAAAGGTCCATTAAAACCGAATTGTAAATTTGACCATGAATCTTCAACAAGGACCAGTGGAATAGAAAAGGATAGTTGACTGCCATATTGAGGCATACTTAGTGTGGAACTCAAAACATGTACGCGGCTCCGACAGCAACAGGCTTCAGGGAAACCTGGCAACACGCAAGACCGCATCCCGGTCGAAACGACTAGCGTGCGGCCCCGGTGGAACCCTTCAAAGCCGGTCGATACGGCTGACATGGCAATAACAATGTTAAATTTTAGTATTTACCACTAATACATGACGATTGTCCAGCATCTGAAAAGATAATACTGTACTGCAATCATTTGCACAGACTTTCTAGAACAGGTTGCAAAGATGGATTTCGAATGCTTTTAGGAACCAAGGTGTGAGATTGAGAAAATGCTCGTGACTAAAGATTTGACGATAATAAGTTAACAATACCTGTGTCTCCTGAATGAGAACATTGCGTTAGTTCCTGGAGAAGATCCTTCAGATCCATCATACGACATTCGAAAGTTACACTTAGTGATAATTCTGTGCAGTGTCCATATAAATTTGGTTTATCAGTTCAGCCTCTGTCTTGGTTGCGCTAATCATCCTGCTGCATTATGGGATACCTAGAAAGTGCAAAGCACTGGTGTAAAATACAATGAATTATCAGACATAAGCCGCAAACTTCAAGTCCCAGCCTAAATATTTATGCCTAAAATCGAAGGCACATCTCAGATTGCTACATTGCAAGCCGCTGCTCATTTTTTATTTTGTAAGAAGGAGACTAACAGACATGACCTAAAGTCATCAGTTAATTTTTCATATTCTAGAAAAATCACTACAAATTCCAGAGGAACGTTTTGATTAGTTTTTCTTGCGGAAAATAAAGCACATAAAGCAGAATCCAAGTTGTCATAAGCTGCAGTTGAAGTACGCATTTCCCATACTTCGCCAAGTGTCAGTGATGCAATAAAAGCAACCAAAGGGTGACTGATGACTATAAAACTAATTTATTTTGCTAAAATATTACTTACGGCCAGGATTGATTGAAATTTATTGTTTCCGCAGGAGATAATTCATGGATAAGATGTTCGGTTTGGATTGTTTACCTTAACTACTAGTGGCTCAGTGCATGTTACTTAAATACCTCCTATATACTTGGTAATTCGAAAACATGTAAACATTAAGGTCAGAAGATAATATTGTAAAGATTATTTCCAATTTTAGTGAGAAAATTAATTATAACGTTCACTTTCACTTTACTGACAAAGCCGACGAACCATTTTTTATTTGAGGTTATGATTGTTGCTGTGTGTGTGTTTTGTTTAGGTCATTAGCGCACTCTGTTGGAGAATAACCCATGTAATAATTAAAGGAGTCGCCCAATCCATGTTTGTCATCCAATAGAGTGCGCTATTTGCGCACATAAAACGCCTTCAAAAAATTGAGTATGTAAAGAGCTAAAATCGGCACGCACAACACATTTGTAACAACAATTGCTGCAGACGCTAATTGAAGGCAATTGAAAACAGCTGAATAATTCACGATATTACGTTGGAAAACATTTTGGTTCTTGATCAGTATGTTCCCAAGGGATAATTGGACGTATGCTAAAAGGAGCTATGTCTCACTCAAACCCTATACACAGTTCCTTTTACCATAAATACGTCCAATTATTATTACGGATTTTTTAAGTCGAATTCTCAAGATATTATCATATGAATTATAGTTTTGATGCAAGAGGAAAGATAGTGCACCGCTCCCTGCATAGATAATGATCGATTTCCTATCCTTTCGCTCTGGTCTGAGTAATATACACTAGAGGTCCTGCACAAATTACTGATAGTAATACCATTTAAACTGCGTTCAGGGTAATTTTTTCGAATTTCTTCATAAATTGATAGCAAAAAACCACCTTCCTTCAAGTCATTAATGCAGCAAACTCAAAACTGACAATGACCAAAATATAATGATATGTAGTTTCATGATTGATACCCATCTTTTTCTTCTACATATAATTTATCAATTGAGTTAGGAAAAAAGTTTAGTAAAAAGAAAAATCATAAAATATTGAAAAATTAAAAAAAAATTAGATCTTTCAGTAGAGGTCCTGCAGAAGGACTGCATGTAGAGAGAGAGGAACAAAACCGAATGAACTTTATGTAGGGTGAAAAGTTTCTTGATAGAATTCGACAGTGGAACTAGACTTATAGTTGGCAACATTCCAACTTCAAAGGAGAAAAACCGGATCTGTGAAAAGGGACCTTATTTTTCAGATGCAAATCTTCCATAACTTTCGGGCAACTTTTTAAGAGTTTTGTCTTGGAACTTTCAATTTTTGATACCGCAGGGTCAAACTTGCGTCTCAATTTCCAGAGTTCCTTCCTTGATGCAGTTGCAGGGACTCAAATCTCCTGGAAGAAAAGGTACCTATCTTTTCACAGATCTGGTCAAAATTTTATCTGAATGAATAATTAAAAAGCACAACTTTTCTCTCCTTCTCGAATGTGTGTCAACCAACTTTAACTACGGATGAAAAGACACCATGACTCTCTTTAATCAGAGATATTTCAACTAATAAAAAAAACAGAAACAACAACAAAAATGAACAAGGAGGTAAAATAAAATTTATTAGGTACGTAACAAAATATGTAACAAAGTTTTATGCTGAATGACTACTTGTAAAAACCATGTGCGAAACAACGCAAAAGACACAAAGATACAAAAGTTTGTAAAATGTGCTTCATAATCATAATTTAAAATACATGCCTTAAAGACAGAATCATTCTATTTACACAGGGCTACCTCTTTGAAAGGATAACAGAAAAATTTAAGAAGAGAAATGCATTCGTAAATATTTTATTTCGATGTCCTCATCAGCGAAGGTTGAAATAATAAGTAAAGAAAGATTTAACTTCTCACTTGTATTATTGTCTGTCACAAAAAAGTTCACCCATTCAACGGACAGAACTTCCTCAAAAAGATATTACAAGCGGATCATGTGCTTGTGGAATTGGCGTATCTTTCTGGTTTCGAATTTTAAAAAATTCAGGTTTGACAATAATTAATGATCCTATAAAATTTGGGATAAAATCAGTTTTAAAAAACGCTGATTACCAAAAAACTGAACTTTAGGACCAATCCAACTCACAAGACCGAATATTTCGAATCTGAAATCTGAGCTTAATGTGATTATTACATATATTTCAATCAAAACAGGTTTCCGATTGAAACAGCAAAATTGAGTACATAGTTTAAAATTCGGTAAAATTCATCACTTTGTGTGAAATACCAACGGAAATATCATTCTGAGGATGAGTAAGAGGTTAAAAAACGTTCTCTTCATAGTTCATAAGGTTTTAAATGGAGTACTTTCTATAGTAAAGTCAATATTCTCATCTGAATCGCAAAAATTAACACATCTGAGAATTTCATACGTTGATGACACACAGAAAAGATCAAATTTTTAAAAATTATTCACTCTCTGACATGGAGCTTACTTGAGAATCATGAATTGAATCATTAAATAAGGACGATAAGCTTTGACAGGCATTGACTTGAAAAAGTCCTGTAATCATCAGAAAAATTAGTGCCTGGAGATAAATATTTCAAGTACGGTTTCCTAATTTGACATTCGGAGGAAGAATATCAATTGATATTGGATGCGTTTTAAATAAATGAGTAGTGACAAAAGTGTTGATTTTTAGTTCTTTTCACTGACGGTGCTTCATATATGGCCCATTAGTTTTGGAGAGAAAACAGAAAAGTGCTGATTTCAGGCAACTTTTATTTCTTAATTAGAAATTGTCTTTTAGACACGTTTGGTCTTTCAAAATCGTTGTTGAATGTGACCCCCTAATTGTGATCCAGTGAACTGTCATGAGTGAAGGCAAAAAGTAGATGAGTAGATCAATAAATGAATAGATAAATGTATTAAAAATAAATAAACTTCAAGCAGCTGAATAGCAAGACAAAAAGTTAACTTAACTTCAATGAATAATTAGATTCTTCCTGGAAACATTCACTCTGGTCAATATTATCATTTCTTCAATGAATCATGGAACAAGAAATTGGTTTTATGGCTTAGAAGGGTAAAATCTGTTTTAGCTACCTTTCTTTTAATCCTCTACAAATGATGTTCAAAGGACAGAATAACTGATGAGTCGAAACAATAGAAAAATTAAACACACACAAGAGCTCAACTGTTTCTTGGTTCATCTTGCCGAGTTCTAACAAATTACATGGTAATCTCTTTGAGATTGAAAGACAAACTGGAATTCATAAAAAGAATGGATTTACAAAAATTACATTCAAGGAGATTAAAATGTCAAACACCCTCCGATCAACATCGCAACTGGATCACAGCCCTTGCAAACAAAGAAACTAAAAGAAAAAAATGGATAACATAAAAACAAAACAAAAAAAGCAGCAGAAACTTTGTTCCTTCAACTAATTTCAGTTTGTGATAATGTTTCTTAAAATTTCAAAAATATTAAGAAAAAATAACACGCAAAAAATTTGATACTGACAGTAAGAATCATTCCTTTGTGCGGAGGATAACAAGGCATGCTGCTAGAAATTTTGCTACGAAACACATTGAATTTGATCTATGTAGTACACAAGAACCAAGAACCATCAGCAAAGGGGACTCCTAGGTATGCAATTCTTTTGACCACTCAAATATTTGATCATTTTGACTTTCTTAAAGAACAATATAAACCAAACAAGAACTTAGAGGTAAAGTGAAAAAGGAGACAGTATAAAAAAGGATAAATTTTAACAATGGTCATAATTAATCAAATTTGTTCGTTTGGTTGTCTTGATATGATGAACCCACAAGCATCGGGCAAAAATTCAGAATTTGCTACGATTTCTCAGAGAGATTTTTAAGCTAAAATTTAAATTCCTTAAAAAATCCCAAACAAGACAAATTACGAGAACTTTGTGAAAATAAAAGACAGAAAAATGTCATTACTTAAAAATTGAAAACGTCCAAACTTATAAAATATGATTTCAGAAAAATCAAGTTCTAACACCCACCTAGAGACTTCAGAAGTCAGATAAAATAGGTACAAAACCCTAATTAAATTAAAAGTTAATGAAATTCTGCAGTCTTCTTGGAAAGGAGACAAATATCTACCCTAATTAAATAATTAATGAGACCCATAAGGTCAGAAAAATTTACATTACATGATTACTCTTTGATACAGGAGGTATTAAAATATTTCACTTCGGCAAAAAAAGGAATGATATCGCTATCACAAACATTCTTGCGATGAAGATTAAAAATCAGCTGCTATAAAAGACAGGAATCAACTAATGTTAAAATACTTTGTAAAAGTGATATCACAACTCTAAGTTCAGACCATGTAACATGAAAAAAAAAACTTATCAATCAGAATATTTGATCGAAGCAAAAATTCTGGCTAACCTCCGGTCATTTGTTTTTTTTCCTAAAAAAAAAAAAAAAAAAAAAAAAAAAAAAAAAAAAAAAAAAAACACACAAGAATGTAAATGAAAATCAAGATGACATAATCATTTTCCAACTTTTATAGATTGTGACTGTTTGCGGGAGATTGACCTTCATTCTCTGAGAAAAATTTCCTAGAGGATAAAGATGTTAGAGTGCATTTTCTTTAAAAAATGCAATCTAACATCCTAAATAATAAATTTAAAGTAAAGAATAAGTTAACGTTCAGTATAGTTCATTATTGTGCAGATAATAAATGGACCGCTGGATTTTAAAATGATAAAATTGAACTCGCAACGTGATCAATTAAAACACTGGAATAATTATCCTAAAACTAAGGTCTTTTGTGCCTAAGGACAGTCACAAAAGTCCCAGATTAATATAATACCTTACAGAGAAGTTTTGAGACGTTGGTTCATGTGAACTGATAACAAAACTTATTCCATGGTTATTTATACAGAGAGGCAGCTTCTGAGAAACAGCATTAGCTAAGTTTCCATTCTACAAGCTGAAATTTGTTGTTACATAGACAAAGGAAAGTAACTCCATTCTACCATCATACGATTAACAAAAGCAAAACAGTTTCTAAAGTGAACAACTGAGCAATTTTGGTCAAAAATTTTACTGATTTTATCCGGCGATCCGTAAAAAAATCCTTGAAATTTAGGATGGTAAAACTCTGGCAAATTCAAAAATAAAAATACATTGCAGGGTAAAATTTAGCAATGATGAAATGTAATTAAGTTCCCTCATCTAGGGAACAATGAATTGGAGAAATACCACATTGCGTAAGTACTTTACAATATAAAAACAAGTTGGATTTTGCAATCGCTAGCGATAGCAATATTCGTCATGGGAACGTTAGCTTCTGGGATATGAAAATGTTAAGGTACAGTTCGTTTGTAGTATCTTCTGAATTGAAGGGGCTATGTAATTTTGTGTTGACATCTCTTTTTTAACATTTTTAATTATTTTCTTTGCATACAAGAAAGCTGTTATGTACCAATTATTTATTTTCGTTGGATTATATATGGTTTTCGGAAGTTAACGCATTTAAGTTTCAGGTTCGCTTTTTCGGCGTAAAGTATACATAAGGTGTCCCAAAAGCACCGGGACTTGTTCTGTAACTTCGAAAGTAAGATAGATACAGACATGATCTTGATTTCATTTTAAAGATCAACTCAATACCTATCGATTAAAACCAAGATCAGCTCAATCGGATAAAAATTGACCGAGTTATGGCAATTTGAAATCAGCGAGGAAAGTTTACGCCTACGGTTTTTAAGGAAGATTCTTCATCGCCGTAAATCGAAAAGTCGGCCGATAAAGTGATGCTTATTGTGTTTTTTTATTTTCGAGGTGTCATTTATCAACATTTTGTACCATCAAACACAACAGTTGACAGTGCGTATTATTGCAAAGTACTAAAGGAGTTGAGAATGCACATTTCCCGGAAACGGTCGGACTTGAAAGCTTCGTGGATACTCCATCAAGACAATGCGCGGCCTCACACATCGAGCTTAACACGTGAATTTATGAGTAAAAATGGAGTTGAAACAATCCCTCATCCCCCTTATAGCCCTGACTTGGCTCCATGTGATTTTTGGATGTTTCCTACGCTTAAAAAGGAGCTTCGCGGACGAAGATTCGTATCGAAGACCGAAATCCAGAATGCAATTCAAAACTTCTTCAACTCCATCCCAGAGGAAGAATTCAGGAAAACAATGTTGGATAAGTGGCAAGAGCGCATGAAAAAGTGCATCCGGTTTGATGGACGGTACTTTGAAAAGCAAAAGGAAGTTATGGAAGATTCGGAGGAAAGTGGATACGAATATTAACTTTTTGAATCCTGGTAAGCGAAAAATCTTCCTAAAAACCGTAGGGGTAAACTTTCCTCACTAATTTCAAATTGTCATAACTCGGTCAATTTTTATTCGATTGAGCTGATCTTGGTTTTAATCGATAGGTATTGAGTTGATCTTTAAAATGAGACCAAAATCATGTCTGTATCTATCTTACTTTTGAAGTTACAGAACCAGTCCCGGTACTTTTGGGACACCCTACGTATGATATTTTTACTCTACACATATGCCCGAATACGCATCATAAGGGACCTATGTGCTTCCTAAGTTGCCAAGTATTAATTATTGTTAGATTATTGGTCTAAAACATTCAATACAACCAGTAAAAATTAGCTGTCCCCTACGAGATTCGAACCCCCGCTCGCACAAAAAGTGACACTCTCCCAGAGGCAGAAAGGTAACGCAGCCATTTGAGCTATTTCGCTGCTCAGATATGCATGGAGAAAAAGAGAACACTTAAGTGATCTCGGACGCTGAGCGGGGCTTCACAAAAGACGTCCTTGAGATTTCAACGGTTCGGCCACTGGCGTGATAAGACACAACGGATCAACCGCATTACTCTGTGAGACATTGTTTACCTATGCTGTCATGTGTCACGAGGTTCATATCAACAGGCATTTGCGATCGCGGCAGTAAGCTCAGGCAATATTTCTGTATTCATGGATTAAATCCATCAATCGAGTTCTGATTTTGGCTCATATATCCGTAACGGGTCCTCCAGAGCAATTTTCCACCTTGTACGATGGTTATTATTTCTTTATATCTATGTTTAAAATTTGAGGTGGGATAATGGCGGCTTCTCAAGAGCAACGAGGTAGGCGATCTTTTGCACCAACGAACAGAAAACTGATGGCGAAAAATAACCAATCAGAACCTCCCAAAAAAAAGAATTTGCCTAAAAACGGAACTTCGTGGTTCTGCGCAGATTTACCAGTCAGACACGACATCTCCAGGTGGCAAAAAACTCGCTGAAAGCGAATTTTAGCAATCAACACAACTTGACGTAGAGACATGATTGGCTAAAAAATACAACAGTTTTTGATACATCGGAAAATCAACCAAAAATCGGAGACTGGGCGAAACGCTCAAGGTCGCAGAGGTATAGGGAATTCCATAGCGAAAGCAACGGAACGATTCTAATATCATGGGGAACTCCGTTCCCATGACAAAAAACGCAAGTGAGAAAATTCTGATCAGTGAAACAAGGAAATTCTCCAAATTTTGGGCAGATATGATGTAAAGTCAATAACTAGAGAAACGGCTAAATGCAAACACCTGAATAGATCAAAGAACAATAACATTTGTAGGCAAATAACTCTAAATGACCAATGTTGATGCCTTTGTATTAATGAGTCAGTACATCATCTATTCAAAGGTAAGTTTCAAACATGGTCTGCAAAAGAGAGTAAATCGAAAAGAAATTTAAATAAATTAAATTAAAATTTCGCTAATTTAATTAAATTGAATTCACTTGCTTGGAGGCAAATTACAGAAAGTACATTTATTTTGTAAAGGATGTATTTTTCCCCCCAGAAGTGTAGAGGAGTGCTTCGTTTTGACCATTCTCTAGCTTACATTCAAAAACATAAGAAAAGTTCCTTTTACCGGAGATATTTTTTGGTTTCTTTCCTCTGATAAATACACATTCAAATGTTGTGATTACTATAGTGAAACGTAACAACAGAAACGTTCAACGAAAATAACAGAGTCAATGGATGACTACAGACTCCAAATTTAAGCATCATTTGAGTTGAAAAAATAAAAAAACGTTCTTAGGTATTAATATTTGATATGAATCCTTCCCAAACATAAAGTGGTAACTCTAAAACTCATAATGAATTTTACTTAATTTATGTAAAAAATTCCAACAAATTCTCACTTAAAAGAGAGCATAGCAATCAAGAGATTATCATAGAATCCGAACTTTTGCGCACAAATCAAGCAAAAATCGGACAGTTTACTGCATCTGATCCTGGACATATTGTTTGCCACAATACTTTTAAGAACTTTGGCATCATGAAACCTAAAAACATGATTTACAGTACTAATCCTTACATCAGTGACAATTCTTGCAAATTGGCAATACTGGATTTCATACATTTCAACGCATAAGAAACAACCGTTGTTCGTTGATGCAAACGGCCTCACCAAGAATCGATTACTTATAGAGGACTCAAGTGAGGACACAAGTGTACAGCCAAATTGTGAAAATTTTCACTGGTTTACAATGACAAAACATCATAAGTGCTACACAATACTGCATTTGACTTCTTTCCAGTTTCGAAAGGCACCATTGACCAACTTGGCAGAGGAATGGATCTCACTGTTAAAAATTACAACTACTGAAATAAATAAATCCATATTTACTGATAAATAAATAGAGAAGAATAAATAGCGAGAGCGTGCGCTTCGAGTTGAAGGAATGTTTGGCTGGTGAGGCGCGGCCGGTTTGTTCATACTCGGTCATCTGAGGCAAGCAGGGATCCGATGGCTCCGAAGTAGCCCTGAAGAAAATAAATGAAAAAAAAAATTAGGCTTACTGTTGTCCACTTTTGAGGATTAACATTTTGAGAGCTTTAACAGACTAATATTATTCATGAAGCATTGGAAACTAAAAAGTAGATAAGTTTATGCGAAAAAGTCACAGATGATTTGAAAAAGAATCACTTACGGAATTTCAGGGTTCCTCCCTTCCCCATTTTTAGATGATTGCTTAGCTGTCAAGTTTGAAATTGAATAAAAAATAGGAGAAAATACCATGCAACACACTACCTCAAATTCAAACTAAGCAATCAATAAAATTTTAACGGAGATCTAGCGATATTGAAAGGGCCAAATTAGAAGCACCTGCAAATTCACTGGAATACTCCTCTGTTTCCAGATAGATGCAATAAAAAATAGCAGTATGCAGAAAAAGAGACTATACACCAAAAGTTTGAGATAAAAAGATTGATATCTCAAAAAGGAGACTTTTACAAACTTTTTGACCAACCTCATAAGTTAAATTTCTTGCGCTTCTAGTGCTTTTACTTCACTTTTTCCTTATCCCTCCAAAAGTTCATTGTCTTGGCAATACTTGTTTTTTTATTACCTTTTCCATATTTCACTTTGCAAAAAACAGACATTGCAGATACTTGAGTTAATAATGTTTCACCATTTTAGATAAATAATAGTTTTCTTAGTGGTCCCAATGAACCTCAATATTTAGCAATGATAACATAAAGAAGGCCGTGCTATTCGTTCAAGAAAATAAGTTAATCACACTTCTACATTCGATTCTCATCAGTTATTTTCCCATATTTTCTTCTTCTTTCATTTTCTTTTCCATTTCACAAGTTTATTTTCTTCAGTCTTATCATCATAGAATCTATTGACAGCAACAGAATACAACAGGATAACAATTTTGCTCTCTGAGATTGCTTCTCATTCAGAATCTTACCTCATGCTCCAAAAATAAAGCCTTGAGTGTACCGTTGGACCAGAAGTCCATTGCGTAAGCTAGAAGCCTCATTGAAATTGGATTCACTCTCAGGAAGTTTCCTACGAACACCACCTGCGACCAGAAAAGATAAAATATTCTTGAGAAACAGCGAAAATTATAATTTTGACATTTTTCACATCAAGATTCCAAACGGAATTCACTACCTTTTCACAATGATAAAGTACAAATAGCTACACACGCAATGTCCAAGTGAAAAAAATAAATGTATAAATTGCAACACTTAAAAACCTTCAGTTGTTTTACTTCAAAGAAAATTAATAAAAATATTTTCTGGAAATTTTGCGTGATCTTATTAAAATTAGTGAAGAACCGAGAATATCAACACAAATTTTTGGTTTAGTTTAACTTAGAAAAACCATGAGCAGAGCCTTATAATATCGTAATGTAAAATAAGTTTTTTCTGGCATTAGGCAGCGATATGTGGCACAGTAAACGGAGACTGAGCTTCTGTAAGTAAGGTTCATAAGAGCTTTTCGAACTAAAATTAAGGGCTTTGTAAGGAGTTCTAAATAGTATGAAAAACAACCTAATCAGCAAAAAATACAGTAAAATAACAACTTAATGCAGAGAAAGGCTGTTGCAAAATATGCGATCAGATACAAAAAAAAATGAGGACGTTTGCAAAAACAAGCAGATGAATTAAGGTCCCATATTAGATGGAATCTTATTATGTGGTATAAATTTTAGCAGTGTTGGTAAGTTATTTTTTGGAAGTTGGTGCTTTATTAAATCCCTGTTTTGACAGTTGAGGAAATCTCGATTTACAAAGTTGCAGGTTTTTTATGATATATTATTTTTTTGACGGAAAACTGACCCACATTATTTCTTAAGATTTTCACAAGTTCATCTTTATCCCGCGCAGAATATTCTGTGAAAATTTCAAAACATAATATTCATCAGTTTCTCTTTGAAAACATAAAACAACAATGGAGATATTTTGATATTGAAATTCAGAGAAGTGTTCTGCAATTTTCGCTATAAACATAAAATGTTGACCATTAGATAAACTACTGCGATGATCTCACCCTGTTGATCTTCTCATTGAGCGCACACATTCGAGCGATGGAACCAATATTGTTGGTGATGGTGACGAGCGTTGCTCTCGCAAGATCTTCTCGGGACACCGCATCGCGCCTTTCCTTCAGCGCCATTTGTCCAAAGCTGAACACACCAAGGAAACTTCAATACAACAATAAGAAAAGTCTTTAAAAAAATTGGACCTCCTTTTGTTTTTTTTTTGTTTTAGAAAAAAAGACTAATGATCAAAAATTACTAAAAATCCCAGGTACAGAAACATAATTTTGAACCGATGATTTTGGATAACAATGGATCAATTGATGTTTAAATGGTTTGTATTGAACTAAAGGGAACTAACGCAATTAGAATGTTGTGAAAAGCGTGCATTTTCGCCTTTCTCCAAAAAAATTGCCTGGAATAGCAAACGGGTTTTGTTTTTCACAGCTTTTTCTTGAAACTGCTTTATCTAAATTGAAAACTTCAAAACCCCATGGTATAGGCTGACTTTGACATTTCTGAATGTTGATGCCAAAATGATCAGAAACTGTTATACGTAATGCTGTTATTACGTAATTTATACGTAAGCTCTGATATCAATAAATCAATTTTGAGTTTTTATGTCTGAAACTTTAAAATGATAGGGAGCTCGCTTGCATGCAAGAACATTGAAAAATGATAGACACAGTTCAAGCTCCGGCCCATGATTAGCCTGTTTCCGATAATTATACGTCCAAGAGAAAGTCCTTAATACTTTAATTTTTTATAGTTGTTTTTTCTTTCACGGTTTTCTGCTGAAATCCAGTTGAGTTTTTATATACTAAGATCCCTTTTTTTGTGGACGTCACAAATAATGAAACAAATTAATTATCACTTACCTGCTGGCGACCAAATCTCCCGGCAACCCGAAACGCTCGTAGTCACCTCCATAGATATCTTTGATTAGTTTGTCAACGCTTTTGTTGTCACCTAGCGTTGCTAGTTCGATGGCTTCTTCAAACGAGTTACAGCCTGTTAGTAGACAACAGAGTCCGAGGAATGTACCGCCACCTAAACTGAAATATTAACCAAATGGTTTTTCTTATGAATGGGCTCAGATTAAAGACACTTTTAAAAATAAATGATTTGTACGTTCCCTAAGAGTTTGTGGGAGGATTGACTTAACGCAATTAAAAAAACAATATCTGCGGGTTGATTACAAAAATTTGTAGGCCTAGGCCTGGACGTAAACCTGGTACCCTAGGATGAAATCAATTTTTCCACTCAAGTTCCTATTGATTAAAGATTTTCTAGAGACAGAGATAAAATTTTATCGAATAATTACCTAGTTCCTGAAACTCTTTTGTAGTCATTCGGTCCATAAACAGCTAAAACACTAACACCAGATCCTATATTTACAACCTACAAAGAGAAAAAAATAGAAATGCATTAAAACACAGGAAAGCATTCGTAAGACATGACAGTCAACAGTACATAATTGATAACATGATGCCACCGATTTTGGCAGAGTTCTGCAAAAATTTTAACTCAAAGAACAATTAAAAAAGTAAACTAATTGGAGCTATGACAATTTAAAGTTTACAAACAGTAAGAGAAAAATCTATTCATGTTATAATCTGCCACATTCACCGTGCAAAATCGTCTGAGGAAAGTGCACATTTACACGCTACATTGACATAAAAATGAACTAAATCACTCACAATTTGCGCTGCTGGATGTTTAATTGTGTATGAAAAAATGATATCAATTTCTCGATTAGACTATATTTTGAAATTAGAAATTAATATTTCTGACGTATCCACATAAGCATCTATCTTTGTAGGGAAACTGAGGGCAAATACATTGTTCCTGAAATGAGCCAGAAATAGAAATTCTTTATTGCAAAATATAGTCCAATTTTGAGGCTTTCTACTACGGGCTCTTTTTCCTTGGAGGGTCATAATCGAAGTACACCTCCAGGTAAAGAATTATTCTTGCAAATCGAACAAGTTTCATAAATTAGAGGACTAGAGGTTCTTTCAAAGAGCACTGATAATTTGTTGAATTTATATGATTATATTTTATAAATAATTTGTCGGACATTGATTTTGAGTAGGAAACATTGGACGTTTCCTTCGAGTTTAGACCGTGGCCCATTAAGAAATTAGATTTACAAAGTCCTAGAATTTTTAACATGTTGTGCTTAAAATTTTGACAAGGTAACATGCCTTGCAGGCATTTACTTCTTCCCCTGTGTAATAGACCATTATTTGATACAAATTATTTCAGATTTGAATTGCAATTAGTGGAGGGGAACTGACACAACTAAAGTGTATTCAAAATCGTTTAACTTCTCTTTTGCTTTAAAAAGTACCAAAAACATCTACAGAAATAAAATTTATATGATTAAGTTCCTTTAAATTGAACAACTTTTTGATAGGAAGGGTAAAAACTATTTGCTATTTCAGGTATCGAAGATGCACGATTTTCACAACACTACAAGTGCGTTGGTTCCCTTCTGCTAAATGCAATCTGTTAGGGCTGGATGAAACATGCTAAAACTAAACAGCAGAACTAAAACCAATGAAAAATCCAGATCACTTACTAAAAATGGGTAAGGCTGACTGAAGTCGTATGTCATTTTATGACACGAGTCCTCCTCTTTTGGATCCGACCAATAATAACATTCATGAGAATTGTTTGTGTCGGCGAACAGCATGCCTTGAATGAGCGAGTCTAGTTCGTCCCGTTTTTCTAACTTCACATTCACTTCCTGAAAGCAATAAAAGAATGTAAATCATTTTCTGCGAAGGTGAAACTTCCATAAATTCCTAGAATTCTTTTCACAAGACAAAGTTTCCTGTGGGTACAATGGTCACATTAAACCAAAAGACAATTGACACAAGTCGGTGATCATACAATCACAGCCCAAGGTGACATCACGACTCTGCATTGCGGGAAAAAATTCTCAATAGGGACAGTAAAAGCTCATTACAAGCACAGTTTCCCTCCTGAAATTATGCAGTTTAGTGCAACACAAGTTACGCCCAATCAGAAAGTAACCGTGGATACATTTCGAGTCAAAGCGGCCCATCATCAGTGTAGCCCAGCTTTCTGCTTCCATTCACGGATAGGTCTTTAAAACCAAACCAAGATTGAGCAAATGGACACTGCAGTCAGCGAACCAGTAAGCCAAAACACAGCAGGCCATCTCTCATAATTACTGGAGAGCACTTCAAATATTTGAAAGTCCGATTGTCAAACTTGAGACCGTAAATTCCTGTATTCTATTATGGAAATATTGAGACATTGGACTGCATTTTGCAATTTGGAACTATAAATTCTGGCTCATCTGAAAAAACACGTATGTGCATAGGGAAACTAATGGTACATACGTTGTTTTTAAACCGGGCCAGAATTTATAGTTCCAAAAATTGCAAAATGCAGCTCATTTAGTCATCAACTCTTACAGCAGAAAACTAAATTTATTTGAAGAAGTAGATGCAAAGAGGCCCTTATAGCTTCGCACTCGAGTGTCAACTCCCAGATTTGGGGGGTTAGTGTCACCCCAAAATATCCCAGGCATTTTGATGTTTTTTTAGCTTTGTTTACCCATTCTTTTTTTGGTTGTAATTCTTGAAATATTCGCTCTATTTTTGTATATTATTTTCATTAAAATAAACTCATCCGTAGAGGATTCTCTATGTAGACTGATTTCTTTTCCATGAATGTTTATGACTGATCTCCACAGAACTGATGAAATAAAATTACAAATGTACAAAATCATACTCAACAGTTTCATCGTTATTTTTATTCTACTGCCCACAAACTGAGGCCCATGGAGATAATTTGTGAATATCTTGTTATTTTCATGATAAGGGTTGAGACTCAATGTAACAATCAGAATTTTCGACAGAGAAATGCTCAGATATTTCTATAATTTTCACCAAATCATGAATAGATTAATCATTAAATGACTAAGCACTAAAACAGAATTGGTTAAACTCCAAAATTCTGTGTTCCGGAATAAAAACTTGGCTCACCTGCCGAAACGTATCTTCAAATTTGAAAGCGCCACCCCCAGTTGCACAGACGGATGTGACTAACTTGGCCATACCTTTGCTCTTGGCTAATTCGATGAAGTTGTGCATCTCGCTTGTTGGAAACCTTATGAAATGTAAAGTTCCTTTTCGGCCATTCACCATTACATTATCCATCTGTTGAGAAAACAAAAATCGATAATGGCAGTGCAAAAAAGGGAGATTCAAAATTTATAAACCGAATATGCTTCGCTTCAGACTGGGAAGCTGTTCACTGATGTTTAAGTTCATTTAATATCACTTAGTTTGAACACAAAAAATTTGATTTTTCGGGGAGAAATCTGAAGGTTTGTATATTTATCAAAGCTATACTTATCTGCATTTGATCAGATGGCTAGTCCCCAAAGCACATCTACAAGAGCTTCAAAATCAAAAGAAAATCCAGTAACTGAGTAAAAGTGTACTTTATCTATGTGCTTAAGTACATTTACAACAACTATTTTTTTAATTTGGAGTGTTTACAGGTTCATCATCAGAATTTTTTTCAAGATCTCTTGCCTTTAATTGCCACAATGCACATTTTTTTTTCTTTTATTAATTTCTGTTTACGTCATTGAAAAGTTTCCAAGATATTATTGAGATAGTATTGAAGTATCTCAATTTTTCTACATAGAATATCTATAAATTAATTTTTCTCCATTTTGACCTTACAAAAAAAAAAAAAAAAAAAAAAAAAAAAAAAACCAAATAGAAATTTTTTTTATATCACTGGAACACTTCCTTAAGCTTAAATTTTAATTTCGATAATTCAAAATTTTATAGTTATTTTAAGGAGCCCTCCTCGTCATCATTGACATTTACTGGCTAACTGTGAAAACGGCTGTCTGATTTAAATCCTAGAAAGAAGATTTCCTGATAAGTATTTTTTCATCAAATTTTAGTAGGGATTTCTCAGTTATAAGTTTCCCCAAGCATGACCAAATAAACACTGCTTCGTCACTTGACTGGACGTATTTAAATCAATTCAATCTATGTCCACTGTAACATGAGCCCTGACATGCATATATTCTTATGAATCTTAGGGCTCATGTCAGGATGGATATAGTTCCTTCTTATATAAATGCATCCAGTTCACTACAAGACCGTGAGAGACAACACTGTCCTGAGTGGGTGTTAAATACATCTAACATGACAACAAGGGCAGTGTTTGTGCGAGACTCGGGACCATTTCCTGGGTCAACAATCAGAGTGACAGGTAATTAGAATAAATTTGAATTCTTTCCCTTCGCTTCAAGGTCGTTTGAGTTCTTTGGCAAACAGGTTCCCAGAGTTTAACTTCCATCGACAAAAACTGACCGTGATTATGGGAAAATTGCTTGATTGGAAAACTGGTCATCAACAATAAGGAGGGGGATGTGGGAAAATATTGGTCTATTTGTCTCTGAACTGGCAGAAAACCCACCAATGATCCAGGTATTTGTTCATAGGAACTTTATCAATACCAGGTATTGAAATGAATTAACAATTGGATTTTCAATTAGTTTTCTTAATGCAAATATGTTATTTCGTCACATATTGAACAAAGTGTATCAAGAGTGTCATTTGTGCTTGGGCACTGTGTTGCCAAATTTCTCAAACTTTCCCAAATTTTTTATGGAAAAACTAATCAACTTGAAAATTTAGACTAGTTTCTCTTAAGACTTCAAAGTTAATCCCTGAAATCTGCATGAAAGTATGCGCTAAAATTTAAAGAAAAACTTGAAACAATAATCAGATGTCTGATAACATGATGTCTAGGCGTAAATGGTGCTTGTGGCTGGAAGGTGAAGATTTTTTCTGCTGTCGATTTAATATAAAACGCTGCTAAATGATAAGATCATTCATAAAATGTCAAGTGGGCTATTGATTCAAAATTAAAATTTGCTGTTTAAGATGTGACTGGAATGGTAAAACACAGCTCTATATGAGTGAGGATGGTTTAAAAATTTTCATGGATTTTTCGGAGAGGAAAAAATCTGAATGTAAAAATAATTGATGACTAAGGTGAAAGTAAGTAATGTTGCCTAAGATAATTTATCCTCGATACTCAACTCCAAAAGATCAAAAGGTTTTAAATATAAATTTGGTTTAAGTTTCAAATGCAGGATAAAATTTCTACAAAATGATAAAATGTGGCAACAAGGCTGGACCACTTTTTCCAACAACTCACATTCTTTTGACTCTTATGTTCTCCTCAGGATTACTTAAAATTTATGGTGCAAGTTTTTTTTAGAATTGAGTTAATTCACTACTACATGCCTCGGTGAGGCTGTCAAAATATGCATACAACTTGAAAAAAAAAAAAAAAGGACTCTACATTCTTCGATCCTTCAGTTTCCGACTGAAATTAATCTACATGCAAGAATTTACTTCACTTTGGATGCCTTTTCTCAGATCAAATTATCATCTCATCTGTTATCACCAGCCGCAGATCCTCACTTTTTTTAATCTGTTTTTATTTTATTTTCTTGCTTTTTGTCTCCAAGTTGACAAGGGGGTTGAAACCACCACAACATTTTGTTGTGTACTTAGTGCTTTTTCTTTACTAATTCCCATGTGCTCATGTTTTCAAATCCAAGCACTGAAATCACTGAATTCTCTACTCCTCCCAAATAAAAACAAACCTGAATCGATAGCAAATTTTGGTTGGGAATTATTTTAATTCAAGAGCATTTGTTTTTTGGGAGGAGACCGGGGAGATAAGAACACAAAAATAAATTTCTTTGTTAAAATTGGAACATAATATCTCACATTCATCAACCGACAACTCGTTGAGCAAGACTAAAAAATGTCAGTATCAGGCAGCTCTAGGCTCCACTCCTTTAAAGACCAAAATTTAATTAGGTAATGTTTACTACGACAGATTTTTAAACAATTAAAAATTCTTAGACATTATCCGGTTTTCTTAGCCTGTAGAGTTCAAGGTAAGAAAAAAAAGGGGGAAAATGTCAACTCAATGATAGAGATTCAATAAAAAAATAAAACAAACTTTCACCTGTAAATGAATATCACGGTGACCTGTGGCTCCATATGCCGAATTCTTCGTGAGATATTTGCGGATATTCATGAGTACCTCCGCCTCAACATCATCGGCTTCAAAAGTGTAGTTGTGCGGCTCAAAATACACCAACTTGGTCAGTGTGCCCCCGATGTCCATTCCAAACCACGGCATGGCTGTGAACAGAATATCCTCATTTTTAGTGTCTCGGAAGTAGCTCACAGGACTCCGCCGGAGCTTTGTCATTGTTTTTTTGCTGATTTTTCCCATCGCTCACAGAACTTCAACACACTCGAGTCACCAAATAAGACATTGTTCCCGCACAAAGCACAATTTATGTACAAACACAGACATCGACACAGAAAACACTGACTTTACAAGTATAGAAAATGAAACTTAACAACTAACAGGAACTTTAACAACGCACTGAGGCGAGCAGGAAAAAACTAACTAAACATCATTACACAATGAGACATGACTCCCAGCAGGTCTGAGACTGACTGGCTGCTTCCAGCCAGGCTTGAGACAGGAAAAAATTTCAAACCAGTTTTTTTTGCCTTTGCTCCCCCCCCTCTTCTGTCTCTCTTCCACACAGCAAGACAAGCAATGACTAGCACTGAAGGTCAATCACTGTGAGATTGGAGGAGGCACATTATTACAAGATTTATTGGGAGATTTAGTTGCAATTTTATTGCATAATTGAGTGTTCTTCGGCTCCCGGTCTATGATCCAAACAACGTGATAGGACCCAAGATTGGGTTTATCTCTTTTTTATCGATCGTAGCTTCTGCAGAAGCTGTTGGATGCTCATCCGTGACCTGGTGAATTAGCCAATTGAGATTGGGAATTTTTTCCAGCTTTTGCCAGTTAAATTTAACTGGTTCCTCCTCCTCTCTGTGATTAAAACCACATTGAATTCGTTTATATCAGCATGATTTCGAATAGTTTCCTACCTCTTCAAAGTCTTTGACATCTTTCTGTGGCTATTTTCGAGCACCTACTTCCCCCTCCTACACTTCTTTCACTTTCCCTACTTCCTAGCTTCAAAACTTGACAGTCTCGTTCTCTTTTTCAACACCAAGCCTCCCTACAATACCTACTGAGTCACCCGACAATTAGAACTTCATTTTATTACTTGCTTCATGTGGTGAGAGTTAAGGTACGGGATGTAAATTGAATTGCAAAGATTATTTCTCACTGTTTGGATGGCAAAGCCTTTTAATAAATCTCTCCCCCTCCCATGGAAAAAAAATTGCCTCAAATAAAACCATTTTTTAAAGCCTGCAAACCTGTACATAAAAAGGTTTCAATTTAAAGGTTTCACAGAAATAAGGCAACTTCCATCTAACTATGAGAAAAAAAGGAGAAAAAAACAACTACTTCCGTCTTACTTATTTCCTCCCACTAGTGATTAGTACTTTATCTCATCTTTTGTCAAGCTGCTGGACTGAACTTTGGACCGCAAACTTGTTCTAAGTTTTCCACACACTATCAGAAAATTTCCGCATGACATGGAAAAATTGCCGACGGATGTTTGGAAAGGTTCAGGAAAAGTATGTAATTTATCACTTTGGACTGTCACACTTCCTTTTTTTATATAAACTATTAAAAACATAACTGGTTCCTTGATTTGATCATTTGATTCATAAAAAAAACTTGATGACTTAATGGTAAACTGAAAAAAATTAATCAACTGAATTTATCTACATACTGTACTGAACATACTTAACTTCAGGATCTACTTTTTAGACGATGCAGCCTTTACCTCTCACACTTGCTTCTTCGGTCCTCATTATCTGATGTTTTGACATCAAAATATACACTCTTAAGACAAATGTCCTTCCCCTGAGGATCCTATATTTTCAGGAAATTATCTGAATAAACTAAAAACTAATGATTACTCAGTAGGTATCTAATTTCTAAAAATATATAGACTAAAAATGCCTGGATTCATTTTAATGAGAGTTAAGTAAATCTCTTTGATAAAAAAAATTGAAAAGCTAGGCACTGGATAAGACATAACTTAAAGTGCTTCGATAAAGAGCAAATGGTCATTGCTTTACAGCCCACTTTTTAAGAAGGCTATGAGACCGGTTACAGCAGTAAACAAACCCTTCAGATGGTTGATGGGTTGTCTGGAAGTTGAGGAGGAAGTGCGGATTTGAAAAAACAATCTGGAACTAGTATTATGATCTCCCAAACTCAGGTTTAAGCAAACAGTAATGGTACTTCAATTTTACTTCATTCAAGAATAAGCCCGTGAGATAATGTACTTTTAGCGTTAGATATACCTATGTTCAACCAAAAACATGTTACAGCACAACAGGAGCAACATTTTTTTGAGGTCAAATCCAATATCATAGTTGATTTATTTGGAGCTTAAAAGCTGTTCATAGTAGTTCAATAAATGAAAAATTGTGTGGTAGATCTTTCAACTGGGCTCAGGTTTAGTTTCATAAAAAGCTCAAGGCTCTGAATTTAAAGGATCAAAATCAGATTAATGAATGAGCACATCAAAAATGAAACTGCAGGAACGCACATCTAAATTTACAGAGTTGCAGACTCAACGTTGCAATAAAATGTATCGATGGTGAAAATGCGAAACCACCGATCTCTGTTTGCAACATTGCAAACTTTCTGTCATTTTTTATTATGTCTCTGGAAAGCTAGTAAACATAATCTCTTGAAAACTTCTTTAATTTTCCTTATCCGTTCGCAGAATATTTTATATAAATTTCGAGCGGTAAAGTTGATTTGTTCCTTTTCGAAAAAATAAAATAGGAGCAGAAATTTTGAAACATGGCAATGGAGGTACCTAATTTCACACTTCAAATATCGATATGTATTTAAAGGTTTTGTCTCTCATGCAAATTTCAAAACCTGCATGAGAGTGAGTATTTTTTCACAAAATTTGGAAGAGGAGCGTGTGAGTGCATTGTGGTGGTTTAATTTATACCTAACTAATCTGGAAACCCATTACTTAAAGCTAATAGATTATGCTGTAGTGAATGTGATCGAGAGATAAATAAGAGAATGACAAACTTACAGGGAGTTCTTTTCTGAGAGTCAGACACCCGATCCGGCTCGGGAAATCCATTGCAACTTGGAGAGGGGTCCATTTTGTGAGAGCAACAATCTTTCAGAGAGTATGGTCCCATGCTACACGCCCTGATCTACAGTAAACAGTGAAAATAAATAGAAAGTTATAGGCAGAGACAAGTAGGTACAGGATCAAAGAGTTGCACTTACAAATGAGCTTGAAAGTGTTTTAATATTGTGGAATATAGTGTATTAATGATAAGCATAGATTGCTAATATGCCTTTCTATTTTGGAAGAAATAAATTTTGAAGTCTTACAGTCGGTGATGCAACAGAGAAAACCAAGTATGGTCAAAGTTGAGACAATCAAGCTGGAAACATTCCCACCAATATTCAAAAGCACTTACCTACTTTGCTTTTCCTCAGCTGAGCAAATAAAAGCAGTGCTGAAGAAAAATTCTCCTAGGATCCAGGAAGTGATACAGAATGAAAATTTTGACAACTTCTCAGGTACTTGGTACAGACACGTAATGATACTGATCTTTGGAAATCTTAAATCGGCATGGAGATACTCTAACAATAATTCTTTGCTTGATGTCTTCATTCATTTTAGGGAATCATTTTCCTAGTTCAGGAATACTATTCCTTACATGAAACAGGTACTCATACAAGCACTCATGTATGAGGATGTCACTCCCCATGTTGAGAGTAGAACTTAAGGTCACACTGAAGAAATTATGAGAAATATGGCAATTGCAGTTTAAAAATCTTCTATTACCTGGTAAAAACTTTCATAAGACGATATTATACATCTTCGGTAGGACCTACACCAAATCTGAGGCCTAGGAAATGCAATTGAGAGACTTTTCGAACGTGAACACAATTTCACTGACTTATCACTACTTCTATCACAACATAACCTAAAAATGTCGCTCAAAAAAGGGCGGGAATGCGGACATGTTTTCAAAACTAGAGAGCTGCACCAGCACCGTACGTGTTCTTTTCATTTTTTATTTCCGACCTTTTGAAGCCGCACTTTCCTCCGCCAGAAAATGAAACTCTGGACTTAGGGTAACCGATACGTGCCCTTAAAAATTTGAAATTTGGCCCTGCAGATGACGAGGGGTGGAAATATAGGGGTGCCCGTGTCCTATTGGGTGAGGGGTGTGGGTGTGGTCACTGCGGCACTGCGGGGAGCGCCTGCAAGTCGGCACGTAAGCATGATTGTGTAATTTTTACAGAGTTCAATATTTTATTTTAAATTTAATTCGTTGAACTGTTACAGAATGTACCTAATCTCACAGGCTTTACGGTGGTTCACCCCCTCCCTCCTACCGTAAAATGGTAAACTTTGAAATGTCTGCATTACATTAGTGAAAGAGGAAAGGTAAGTAGCATTTCAGAAACAACGTATGTACTGTAAGTTCTCGTATGCAGATAGGTGTTTCTACAAATGAGCTGGAAATTTTGGTTCCTTATTTACTCCAAGATGGAGTTAAAATTCCGTTCATTTTTCACACAATTTTTTTCGTAGTTAGGATTAGTATTTGAACTGCAAAAAGTTGGGAGGGGGGGGGCGCTTGGTGCTTCCTCTTTGAAGTTTTAAAGTCACATGCCTCGCCGAACATCGTAGAGTCTCAAGTAAAAAGGAGTTACGCCCGCGGAATGCCATCCACCGAGGTAGGGAAGAACATGTCGATGGCTAAAGTAAGAAACCACTTATCTCCATTGCGGTGTCTCAATTTTTCTGCTCCTTTTTTGAGTTTTTGCAAGGCAAATTCATAGATTGGAATTTTTACAAAGTATACTTGCAACAGAGAAGAAAAATCGAGGAAGTTTCAAAAAATTACTGCGACTAGTTCTCCGAAAAAAAAGTTAAGTATGACACGAGGTCTGCAACGTTGCAAACAGAGATGCGTGGTTTCGTACTTTTGGCCTTGGTTATAAGCTCTTTGGATGTTGCCGACTCTTTTATGATAAAACTCGAATTTCGGGGGAAAAGAAAAATACATTTTCTTCCAATTTATCAGACAATTTTTAAAGTTCGCATTTGAATCCGGAGTAAGTATCTGAAAATCTCGAGTAAAAATATTCCTCTCTTTTTTGAAAAATAAATAGTACATCGGAGGGAGGTCAAGCCTGGGAACGTTCGAATATTCTGGCAGAAAACGATATATTATGAGGGGGGAGGGGCAGTCTACGTTCAAACACCCTTTATAACGATTGAGAAGGTGTCACAGACAGAAATTCCAGAAAATCACGAGGAATGGCTTTCAGAAGCATTTTCGGGTGAGATGGTTTGGGCCCCAACTTTGGTGTAACCTACCTCCCTCCCTCCTCTTCCCGCTATTGCTTTGCCACAAATGTACCTTACTACGATGTAGATTGTTAGTTTTATTTGTAAAAATTACCCTGGTAAAAATTGGCAGTAGAATCTGTGTTCCAAAATACCATAGACCTACGGCCGGCTGTAAGATTTCCAATAGCTTCTATAGCCGGCTAAACAATTTCTTACAGCCTTTTATAGCCGATGGCGATTAAGCAACTCACAGCCAGGCGATAAAGTGTATGCTAAACGTCACTAATTACGGATGCTAAGACTTAGTGAGTTTTTGGACTACCGCTCTCTTTTTGGGCAGCAGTATCTTGATTTAATTAGCGAGGAAAGCTCCGTTCTTTTGAAGGACGCCTGACATTCCTAAGATGTTGGAGCGCCTTCAATTTCGTATGATACTGTGCAATACCTCCGGTGTGAAATAGTTGCTTCAGACGCCGTGGCACGCTGCGGCGCGGCAGGCGGGCAGCCAGCGCAAAACGCGCACTGGCGCCTACAAACCTAACAGGGATACTTCACGCGTTGCGCAATGCGTGAAGTATCCCTGTTAGGTTTGTAGGCGCCAGTGCGTCGCCGCTCCGCTTTGTGTTAGGCTCTAATATCTAATCTGGCGGAGTCAGCGTTATTCAACTCATGATTTTGAAATGTTTGCACATCCTGTATGGATTATTCTCGTTTTAATTGATGAAAAAAATATGTATTAAAGGAAAACATGACGTGTGTTTTGTAAATATTAAGGTGGTTCCGTATCAAACTTAATGATTTCCAAAGCACACGAATTTCTACACAATTTCTTATAGCCTTTTATAATCGATGGCGAAAAAGCAACAGCCAGGCGATAAAGTGTAAAGCCCGGTTATAGGAACTATAGCCCGGCTGCATAATTTTTTATCGCTTCGTATAGCTTGGCCGTAAGATTTCTTCCGCATTCTACAGCCAGCTACATGAGTTTCAATAGCCTTCTTTAGCCGGCTATAAAAATTCCTATGGTATTTTGAAACGCAACTCTTATCGCAAATTTTTACCAGGATAATTCACAAATGAACTTATTATACGACGAAATATTGGCACCCTCCAGCCAAAGTATCACAAACGCCATGCGCCGTTTCAAAATTTCCCCGGCACCATTTTATTTTTTCACAGCGAAATTGTTCAACGAAGCTGTCCGAGGCGATTTCACTGAATTTGCTTCGCTTTGCCGATGAAACTCTGTAAAATTTTCAACAAGATTCAACCAACAATCTCGCTGTAAAAATAAAATGGCGGCGGGAATATTGAAACGTCGCATGGCGCATGTGATCTTTTGGCCGGAAGGTGACGATTTGTGGTTCACGTAGGTGCTTTGCGACCTTCTGAGCCGTTGGAATCAAACAGTGAGTCCACTGGGATTGATGAAAGTGGGTCAGAAGAATGAACAGGTAAGTACGCTTCCAAAAAGAGCCGAACCAGTGGCATGGCGTGCTTTGCAATATATCGATTGATCTGCCATTGAAAACTATGGAAAAGAATCGTCAAACAGGGTGTTCGTAACGAACATCTTAATAATCGATTCTTTACCATGGGTTCAAGTGAGGAAATATCGACAATCGATCATGTACGCCTCGCCACTGAGCCGAACAATCTAGTGCACAGATGGATAATTAATATCAGCGCATTGTAAATTCAAATTGGACTGCCGCATGCCACATGTCTGTTTCTTACACACAATGTCTACTCTTGATCCCCCCCCCCCCCCCCCNAAAATTTAAGCTGATTAGAATAATGCACGTTCATTTTTCCAGCGGCTGCCTTCTTCGGTACGTCCGGCACATTGTACAACATGAGTTGAGTGTCAAGTGTAGGTAAACGCTAGCGGTAAGATATTTATTTGCGGTCCACTATTAATGAAATGCAGTTTTATAATAGCGATCTTTAGAAAAACTTAAAGAAATGCTAGTGGCGATGGAGATCCCTCAAAAATATGAAAGCTAAAATGGATTAGTATCCCAGCCTCAATAAAGGCATTATGTTGGGAGGTAGGTATGTACTTAATCCGTCAATGATTCTACTTAATGAAACTTAACGAGGCATGAAAAACAGAAGGAAACGCCCAAAAAACATCCTAAATTTTTTTTAAAAAAATAAAATAGAAGATAAAAATTAAAAGAACCCCCCCCCCCAAAAAAAAAAATAAATAAAAGAAAAAAAACAAAAAAAAATAAATAAAAGAAAAAACAAAAAAATAAAAGAAAAAACGAAAAAATAAAAAAAAGTAAAACAAAAAAAGAAAAAACAAAAAAGTAGAAAACAAAACAAAATAAAACATAAAACAAAAAAGTAAAACAAATAACAAAAAAAATGAAACAAAAAATAAACAAACCAAAAAAATAAAACAAAAAAAGATTAAATAAAAATAAAAGGAAAAAAAATAAATAACGAGAGTTGTGAAGAAATATTGACTTCCATACATGTTTTACATCGGGCAAGCAAGTAGTGTTAAAACAGAAATTAAAAATTTAGCGCCCAACGTGGGGCTCGAACCCACGACCCCGAGATTAAGAGTCTCGTGCTCTACCGACTGAGCTAGCCGGGCAGCTGAAAGGCCGGGTCGAAATACACTCTCTTGAACGCTTTCTTGATCAGTGGCGTATACCACTTGAGACCATGCACGGACATTAACTGATAAGGCTTAAAAGATTCAAAGCGAAACTCGAACTGCCGCAGTATGCGCATAGAAGATGACAAAAAATAATAACTTTTCTTAATTGGAAAAAAACATTGTGAATGCGCGAAATCGAATCATCGTTGAATCTGAAGAACTTCCCTCTGTACCGATGTGGAATAATTCTCACAAGGTTGGTAACGCATGTGCTCGGATTTGGCGGGATTCAGGACAAAACGGCGCGCGATTTGAAATAGCGCGCTCGCATCGGCACCGCCACGCCGCGCGCCGTCGAGCCAAAGAAAAGCGCCGTGCGATCCCTCAGAAGTTGCCAAATTTCCTTTGATGAAATACGAATTTTCAATTATTACCCCCCCCCCCCTTTTCTGAAGAATTTCATCCGCAATCGGTTCAATATTACCTGAAAATATTCAGAAAAGAAAAAAGGAGAGAGAAAAAATGGACTACAATTTGCAATTACCAACTACAAATTACGGCGTATCGGTAAAAACACTAATGAATGTAGGGAAAATAATGGTGCATACGTTGTTTTTAATCTGAGCCAGAAGATATGGATACTACATGGAAAAAGTGGATTGCTGATTTAACAATTAAATTGTTGAGAAATATGTCCGACATGTTTCAAATGTGCATTTTACAATGTTGGAAAGCTAATTCAACCACGGGGATATGGTTGAAATGACATTTTTTTAATTGTAAAATCTACATTGAAACATGTCGGACACTTTTTAAATGTAAAATATATATTTAAGCATGTCGGGTACTTTTTAACTATAAAATTGTTAAATCGGCAATATCTTTTTTCCGTGTATTTGCAAAATGTAGTCCAAATCAACCGAAGTTGACTACATTTTGCAATTAGAGACTCAAATTTCTAGGAAAGAAAGAAAAAAGAGAGAAAAAAATG